ATAGATCGTGATACAACTTTGTATAACTTTATATATCTTTTTGATAGATCGTGATTCAACTTTGTATAACTTTATATATCTTTTTGATAGATCTTGATACAACTTTGTATAACTTTATGCAACTTTGTATAACTTTATACAACTTTTTAATAGATCGTCATACAACTTTATATAATTTCATACAACTTTTTTCATAGACCGTGATACAACCTTTGTACCACGTCAAACAGGTGTGTATTGGCCATTGGAGCCTTATACAATATAACACAATATCCTATACCACTGAGGTTTGTGTGCTATCATTTATATTGGTGCTTCTGTGCTCTTTCCAACATTAATACTTCCGTTTTAGAAAGCAACCAAAGTTCACATCCATATAAGGCAGACGGGTACACTTTAATTTTAATCAACTTAGCAACAGTGAGGGGATTGAGCGTGCACGGATGAGCACTGGACCTATACGTAGTGACATAGTACCAGATGTTAACCTACTACATGCTCTAGTAGTTCTTTCCGTTGAATTTCTTCTGCTATTTAACAATATTCCAACATGTTTAATTTCTTCAACAACTGGCAGTACGCGTTTGTATAGGTAGACATTTTGTATATTATGTAATGTACGTTTGTCTGTAAACAATACAATTTTACTTTTTGTTGACGAAAAAGTGAATCTCAACTTTTTACTGTAGTTTTCGCATATATCAACCATTTTTTGTAGACTTTGAAAATGTGTACTAACAAGACATATGTCGTCTGCCTGAGTTGGGATGTTAATTTTTAAATCAATAATTACTGCACCTTTTCCACGTAATATTGTATTCGGTTGGACCATTGTTATGTCGATGACCATGACTATGTTTACGTCTCCTTTGGGGAGTGAACAAAGACATTACGTAAGTATGACTGCATCCTGGACTTGACAAATTTCCACACGGACATTGATCAAGATGGCGTAGTGGTCCCAAGAAATCTTATGTAAGGCTCCTCTTCTTGTCTTCGGTACGGGATGCTAAGTGTAGGGCTATTCAATTATTATTTAAATATCATACATTATTCAATGATGTAACACAACATGAATTGACATCATTGGCTAAATGTATTACCAATACTAATTACATAATTAATTTACGATACTAACGTCCATCCTGTTCCACCATGTATTATTGCCACCCATTTGGGTATATGTATTTCTCTACAATGTATTGTTTATGAGAATAAAACAATTGTCATTGTCATTGTAGGATGATAATTTTTCTCTAAAAATATGGACATTCATTGACAGTAAATCGTGGTCAGAGAAGTTGAAACGATTATCTAAACATTGATATATCCAATTTTGATGTTGTAATTGTCCTTTAGTATAACACAGGAGGATTTGCAGTTGAGTGGTTTAAAGGCTCCTTGTCCTATATTTTTATTAGTGAGGATACTCCCGTAAGTCCTACAGTACTGCAGTAATAAATATACTGCAGCAGGTCTTACAGTTTTTAATTACATTTTTGAAATGTGAAAACAAATCTGACACGTCTGAAACATCACACAAATTAAATCGATTACATCAATTTTACAGGATTTTACACGTTCATATTTTTACAAAAATATCTACTATCCGATCTTTGAACAAAGTTATAATTTGTCATTTAGGACAACCTGAGGGGTACTTCCCTTCCCTTCCAATAGTTGATCTTGTACCCATAAGATCTAAGCACCAAGATACAGCATATAGGTATAGGTATTTACTGTGTACATGTTGTAGGCCGTTTACAACAGTACAGAGCCGTTTTACTTGTTCCCATCCAGTTTGAGGAAGCAGGTTCATACAGTGCATATAGGTACAAATGTGCAGACGCATCGTTAGTTACTAAGGTATCTGTTTGTAATATTGGTCCGTACTTTTAACCACAAACAAATGTCCAGAGAGCATGGTAATTAATCAATATCAAAAATTCACTTTTACAACATACCATTCATGCCAGGTTTGTATCTATGTAATTAAATATTCAAATATGAATAGGATCGAACAGCAGGCTACGTCTATTTCAGTTCTATCCTGCACGCATTTGCATGTAAAAGTACCCATATATTATATATATAATTACAATTTATAGTGAAATGAAAAATTGAAACAAGATACAATTTATATACAAAACATATATCAATGTGCAAGTCAATGGCATAGGAGATATAACTCATATAACTAAAATAGCAGATCTATGCTATTGTATGGCAAGCCAAGTTGTCATTTATTCATGGAGCAATGTTGATCCAGTAGTTAACCAAATTATATAAGATATCTTATATATTAAATAAGATATCTTATAAACATAAAGTTTATGAGATATCTTATATCTTTTATAAGATATCTTATAAAAGATATAAGATATCTTATAAAAGATATAAGATATCTTATAAAAGGTATAAGATATCTTATATAATATGTAAGATATCGTATTTTTTATAAGATATCTTATTTAATATATATGATATCTTATAAAGAAAAGTATATAAGATATCTCATTTATGATATAAGATATCTTATAAAGTATATAGGATATCTTATATAATTATGTAAGATATCTTATATAATTTGGTTAAGTACTGGATCAACGTTGCTCCATGAATAAATGACAACTTGGCTTGCCATACTATGGTCTTTCGACTTTCACTTTATCTTCACTGGTAATTCAAGATCCATACAAAGTGACCCGTAGATAGTAAAACATTAAGTTTACATACATATAGTTGTCATTGAATATCATATTCACATTCACATTATGCAATTATACAATATCTTTATACTTATTACAAGTCCATGTTGATTTATTGGGTGAGCATACCATACTCACTTTGTGTTTATTTGTAAATGTTAATGGTATTGGTAACAGCCATTTATAGACCACTAAGCATTTAATGTGTCAGAAGTTCTTTTAACTGGAATACTCATGTTTACAATACTAGAACATTCTATTTACAATATATAAACCTTATCTTTTTGAGTTTGAGATAGAGGTTGAAACACTTTCGAGGATATTCTTAACCATTTCGTATAGTATGTAATGTATAGTGTTAGTTAAGATCACTAACTAGTGACGCTGAGAGTAATTGTCCGTGATTGTTGTATCTGGCACATACATTCTAATATATGGTCATGATAGAGATAAACATTTAAGTCATAATTCCTAATCTAACACAGTATTAACTTGATTCGTCTTTTTTTGTTTGTTTATTCTGTCACATACTGCTGTTTGTTTATTCTGTCACATACTGCTGTTTGTTTATTCTGTCACATACTGCTGTTTGTTTAATCTGTCACATACTGCTGTTTTTTATCCTGTCACATACTACTGTTTGTTTATTCTGTCACATATTGTTTATTCTGTCACATACCCCTGTTTGTTTATTCTGTCACATATTGTTTATTATGTAACATACTACTGTTTGTTTATTCTGTCACATACTGCTGTTTGTTTATTCTGTCACTTACTGCTGTTTATTTATTCTGTCACATACTGCTGTTTATTTATTCTGTCACATATTGATGTTTGTTTATTCTGTCACATACTGCTGTTTGTTTATTCTGTCACATACTGCTGTTTGTTTATTCTGTCACATATTGTTTATTATGTCACATACTACTGTTTGTTTATTCTGTTACATACTGCTGTTTGGTTATTCTGTCACATACTGCTGTTTGTTTATTCCGTCACATATTGTTTATTATGTCACATACTACTGTTTGTTTATTCTGTCACATATTGTTTATTATGTCACATACTACTGTTTGTTTTTTCTGTTACATACTGCTGTTTATTTATTCTGTCACATACTGCTGTTTGTTTAATCTGTCACATACTGCTGTTTATTTAATCTGTCACATACTGCTGTTTGTTTATTCTGTCACATACTGCTGTTTGGTTATTCTGTCACATACTGCTGTTTGTTTATTCTGTCACATATTGTTTATTTTGTCACATACTGCTGTTTGTTTATTCTGTCACATACTGCTGTTTGTTTATTCTGTCACATATTGTTTATTATGTCAAATACTACTGTTTGTTTATTCTGTTACATACTGCTGTTTATTTATACTGTCACATACTGCTGTTTATTTATTCTGTCACATACTGCTGTTTGTTTAATCTGTCACATACTGCTGTTTGTTTATTCTGTCACATACTGCTGTTTGTTTATTCTGTCACATATTGTTTATTATGTCACATACTACTGTTTGTTTATTCTGTTACATACTGCTGTTTATTTATACTGTCACATACTGCTGTTTATTTATTCTGTCACATACTGCTGTTTGTTTAATCTGTCACATACTGCTGTTTATTTAATCTGTCACATACTGCTGTTTGTTTATTATGTCACATACTACTGTTTGTTTATTCTGTCACATACCCCTGTTTTGTTTTATCTGTCACATACTGCTGTTTGTTTAATATGTCACATACTGCTGTTTGTTTAATATGTCACATACTACTGTCTGTTAATATGTCACATACTGTTGTTTGTTTAATATATCTTATACTGATGTTTGTTTAATATGACACATACTGCTGTTTGTTTAATATGTCACACACTGCTGTTTGTTTAATCGGTATGTGACTGATTCAGCTACATTCTACAGCTTTTTTACAAAGATATTTCCAATCTAACTGATCAGGGTTTATACTGCTGTTTAATAATTGGTGTGTCATATTTGATACTCACACAAATTGCTGTATGCCAATGTTTAATTCAGATCTCTCGTTTAATTCTTTCACTCGATGTTTAACCAATAATATTTCTATTAATATTGTTTTTAGGGTAGTTATTTACTACTGTTTTCTTGTCTTCTCCTTCAACATTTTGCTGTTCGAAATTTTTACGATGTTGATTGTGGTTTCGAGGTTTTTAAGTTACTACATAACTCCAAAAAATGCCACTGCATATTTGTATACAATTAAGTATTAAGTTGTTGTTTTGTACCCGTGAAATAAATAAAGAAACAGTTTGTCAAAACATAATTGTATTATTATTGAATAAACATTGTGCCAAGATAACAAATGATTGTACACAAACAACTTGGGAATCACTGAGTGCGTCCGCCCTAGTGCAAGCAACTGGAATCGTTTTGCAGCTAAAGTGCGTCCTGCTGAAATGAAGAAGAAAACATCAATATGTATATCTTTCAATAGTCAACTTACACGTTAAAAATAACACTAACATTATAATGTGAAGGACCCATTAGAGTGTCACTCGTCCCACTGTTTTTATTTGTATGTGTTTGGTTTTACGTTATTGCAACAGATAAGGTCTCATAAAGACGGTGGACATAGATGAAATGTCGTAGTCTGAATGACATTGGTCTGGTCAGCACGACATTCCTTCCGGTCACGTGATACTGATAACTGGCTAACCTGTCCGTACCGATATTCGTCAGCAGCTGAAAGTCCAGCAGGAGGCAGTAAGTGCCATTATTAAGGACTTTGGTTCGTCTCAGTCAGGTGACAAAACAAGTAACCTTCCTCGCTTAGACGAACGTGTACAACCAATTAAAGCGGGGTATTGCCAAATATTGCGGTAAAAGAGGATTATGATTACACATGCTGCAATGCCTGTTGCAGATGATATTCCGTCTTTGCGTATTGCAGAGTTATCTGCACTTGTGAGGAGGTATTGATTGTTACGTCATTTGTTTGTGAGAGTAACGTCATTAACTTTTGAGAAAACGACGTAATTTTCTCACACAAACCAATGACGTAACAATCAATACCTGCTCACAAGAGAAGATAACTCTGCAATACGCAAAGACGGAATAGCAGTAGGCGAACGTAAAAGTGAAATATATATGTCAGGGATGCTGTTGTATAAATTTGCTGTTGAAACAAATGTATACTTACAAGTAATCCGCCTTCACCCCCAGCACCTGTAGAATTAAAATACACCATCAGCCTTAATCATTACAAAGAGATAGTATCATACAATACACAGACTCAATCAATGCATAGAGTAAGTATGGTACAATACATATGGTAAATAACGTACACTACACAGTGCTAAAATATGCAGAAATACAAAACACAGACAAAGACTCGAAACAGCATATTATGCAACACACAGAACAAAGTTAACCAGTCAAGGATCATCTATTAGTCCAATAACACTACCTTGAAATGCACATAACTTGGTTATGTTATTCTGACAGGGCTAACTAGCCTGTATTCAAATGCTCACTCAAGTTTGATTGTATCACAGATGCTAATACCGAGCATTAATTGTTGGTAGTTTATTTTGTTACATGTTTTAATTTATTATAAATTCTTCATCAATTAATTGCATCATAATTTAATTATATATGACGTGGGTGATATTTTGTGCGAAGATGTTAGATACTTGATTATGGTATTAATATCCTCTTATATAATCAGTCGATAATTAAAGACTAGGGCATAAAGCTACTTGATATTTTGTCAGGTGCCACATGAGTTTGACAAGACTGAATACATATATAAGTGCATTGAATTACAATAACGTATATATCAAAATCCTCCGTAAAGTTACAAATTTTACCTCGGCCAGAGAATGCCCCGAAGTTGTCAATGGCACCAAGACCGATCTGATTGAAGCCTATTCCAAGGTCGTTTCCTGCTCCATTTCCCAGTCCAAAATCAGATTTTCCATTTCCAAGTCCAAAATCAGATTTTCCATTTCCAAGTCCAAAATCAGATTGTCCAATTCCCAGTCCAAAATCAGATTGTCCATTTCCCAGTCCAAAATCAGATTGTCCAATTCCCAGTCCAAAATCAGATTGTCCATTTCCCAGTCCAAAATCAGAATGTCCGTTTCCTAATCCCACAACAGATTGCCCATTTCCTAATCCCAAGTCTGAATGTCCCTTTCCTAATCCCAAACCTGAGTTTCCATTTCCAAATCCTAAATCAGATTGCCCATTTCCAAATCCTAAATCAGAATGCCCGTTTCCAAATCCTAAATCAGATTGCCCATTTCCAAATCCTAAATCAGAATGCCCATTTCCAAATCCTAAATCAGAATGTCCAAACCCTAGTCCGTTGTCAATTGGTCCTTGACCTGGTCCAATGTCAACTAGTCCTGGTGCTGGACCCAGGTTTGCAACTCCATGTCCATCACCGAAATCAGCTGGCCCGACTCCTTGGTTGACTGATAAATATGAAAATATTGCATGTTTAACGATAGATTCTTAGGCTTTGCTAAATTTCCCACAGCAACATGTGCCTCAAAAGTCAAGATTTGTTTATATGTGTTATCTTATTCTCTTGGAGCAAATGAAAGGAAAGTTGTACTTATCGGTACGAGAAAGGAGCCTAATAAATTTTACATTGATTGTGAAATCCACTCCGGAGTACATGTATATACATGTACACCGATAACTACTCTGGAGTACATGTATATACACCGATAACTACTCTGGAGTGCATGTATATACATGTACACCGATAACTACTCTGGAGTACATGTATATACACCGATAACTACTCTGGAGTACATGTATATACACCGATAACTACTCTGGAGTACATGTATATACACCGATAACTACTCTGGAGTACATGTATATACACCGATAACTACTCTGGAGTACATGTATATACACCGATAACTACTCTGGAGTACATGTATATACACCGATAACTACTCTGGAGTACATGTATATACACCGATAACTACTCTGGAGTACATGTATATACACCGATAACTACTCTGGAGTACATGTATATACACCGATAACTACTCTGGAGTACATGTATATACACCGATAACTACTCTGGAGTACATGTATATACACCGATAACTACTCTGGAGTACATGTATATACACCGATAACTACTCTGGAGTACATGTATATACACCGATAACTACTCTGGAGTACATGTATATACACCGATAACTACTCTGGAGTACATGTATATACACCGATAACTACTCTGGAGTACATGTATATACACCGATAACTACTCTGGAGTACATGTATATACACCGATAACTACTCTGGAGTACATGTATATACACCGATAACTACTCTGGAGTACATGTATATACACCGATAACTACTCTGGAGTACATGTATATACACCGATAACTACTCTGGAGTACATGTATATACACCGATAACTACTCTGGAGTACATGTATATACACCGATAACTACTCTGGAGTACATGTATATACACCGATAACTACTCTGGAGTACATGTATATACACCGATAACTACTCTGGAGTACATGTATATACACCGATAACTACTCTGGAGTACATGTATATACACCGATAACTACTCTGGAGTACATGTATATACACCGATAACTACTCTGGAGTACATGTATATACACCGATAACTACTCTGGAGTACATGTATATACACCGATAACTACTCTGGAGTACATGTATATACACCGATAACTACTCTGGAGTACATGTATATACACCGATAACTACTCTGGAGTACATGTATATACACCGATAACTACTCTGGAGTACATGTATATACACCGATAACTACTCTGGAGTACATGTATATACACTGATAACTACTCTGGAGTACATGTATTTACACCGATAACTACTCTGGAGAACATGTATATACACCGATAACTACGCTGGAGTACATGTATATACACCGATAACTACTCTGGAGAACATGTATATCCACCGATAACTACTCTGGAGTACATGTATTTACACCGATAACTTCGCTGGAGTACATGTATATACACCGATAACTACACTGGAGTACATGTATATACACCGATAACTTCTCTGAGGACATGTATATACACCGATAACTACTCTGGAGGACATGTATATACACTGATAACTACTCTGGAGTACATGTATTTACACCGATAACTACTCTGGAGTACATGTATATACACCGATAACTTCTCTGGAGTACATGTATATACACCGATATCAACTCTGGAATATATGCATACTGCTCTTATTTCTGATCAGTTTGATGTTAGTAAATTTAATCCTAGCTCTCGAAAATGAACATTTTCAGCTTGAGACAAAATACAATATATATATTGCCGTAAGGACCGCTGTTCTGTTCTTCCATTGTTCAAATAAGCAAAAAGGATCACTGTCTGAACCTGCAGCTATAACCAGTTTTTACAAACCGACCGCAGCAACAGAGGACAAACTCTACATAGACATTCTTAATTATACATTTTATGTATTTGTATCATTCGGGATGAGATTCATCAGTATTGCATTAATTCTATTGTCAAGGAAATTATTTAATTTTGTTATAATGACGACAATAGTGATTAAGTTATCACAAAAAGGTACAAAATAGCTAGCACTCACCTTTCACCACAACTGTAAAGAAAATTATAAGGTATTGCCATTAATTTCGAGATGTTGAAAATTAAATCGTTCGCTCGGTACCAATTCAATTCAAGAAGATACACATTAAACAGGACTAAATAGACTATGTAGACTATGCAGACTATTTAGACTATGTAGACTAAATATACTATGTAGACTTAATAGACTATGTAGACTAAATAGACTATGTAGACTGTGGTAATATCATTGCGACGTGATAAAATTAAATTTTTACCATTGCAGTACAATTACATGAAGATAAACATTATGACTTTGTCATTTAATCGATTTGATATCATAAATAATGTGGAAGATAATTTTTGTTTAACTGAAACGAAAGCGTCACAAGTGACTCAATCTACGTTTTAAATTTGATAAAATATTTTATATTATAATGATACCCAATTTTGATATCAATACCAATATTTGTTCAATAAGGCGAACAAGATTTCAACCGGAGAAATCGTTTAAAATTAGCATACGGATTCGTTTTGATGTAATTGATGTTACCTAACCTTCTTTACTCATCTTATACAGGTATGGTTAATGACTTACCTGGCTGTTGTTGTTGCTTAACTGGGATAGGGTTGTTCACGACCAAGGTACGGTCTCGTGGTACGGGCTCCCTAATGACAACTGGATTATTTACTAGAACTGTTCCCGATAAAATAAATTGTAATTGATGTCATTAAAAAAACAAAAAATACCGAAATGTCAACAAAACGTCAACCTATTTTTAGCATGCTGTATTTATTACCAAACTTTAAAAATACAATCATCTGTGTGTGTGTGTGTCTGTGTGCGTGCGTGCGTGCGTGCGTGCGTGCGTGCGTGCGTGTGACGTTCATCTTTCGAACTAAAAATCGATAAAAGTACGGCAAATATACACAAAGGAAACATTTACATGGAGACACTTAAAAAAGTACAAAGAAAAATGTGACAAGGTGTTCCGGAAGGGTAAGCGTCCGATGTGGATCGCTTTTCCTGCTAGAAATGTCCAAATTAACGAAATGCACGCTACTAAGCAATGTGGATATGATTGTACGCGACGACAGATACTAGTGTATAATACTTACCAAATAGTTTACCTCAATGGTGCTGATAATAACTATGGATAGTGTACAAGATTTTAATGAGAAATATACATCTTCTTTACTATGTTAGGAACAAATATTACACGTTGATGAGTGATCTTACCTTGTTGTTTGACAGGTACTGTCAAAAAAGAAAAGTAAATTGTTAAAGGGAGATCATATTTCCAGCAATATAATGTAGCGGTCATACAAACAATGTATAAAGGTAAATAAGGAATATCAATAAATAGTTATCTATATCATACTTATTAATACATACACTTTATCGTACTTACAACGTATGGTTGAATATATATGTATATAAAACATATTGTAAAAATATACAGTATACAGTAATTATTACAATATGCGTTATCGTATAAATGGTGTCAAGTGAACAGAACTTGTCAAATTAGAAGTCAGTTACAGTGTCTGGGTTAATGAACCAGAGGTCAGTTACAGTGGCTGGGTTAATGAACCAGGGATCAGTAACAGTGTCTGGATTAATGAACCAGAGGTCAGATATAGTGTCTGGGTTAATGAAACAGAGGTCAGTAACAGTGTCTGGGGTAATGAACCAGAGGTCAGTTATAGTGTCTGGGTTAATGAACCAGAGGTCAGATATAGTGTCTGGGTTAATGAACCGGAGGTCAGTTACAGTGTCTGGGTTAATGAACCAGATGTCAGATATAGTGTCTGGGTTAATGAACCAGAGGTCAGTAACAGTGTTTGGATTAATGAACCAGAGGTCAGTAACAGTGTCTGGGTTAATGAACCAGAGGTCAGTAACAGTGTCTGGGTTAATGAACCAGAGGTCAGTTATAGTGTCTGGGTTAATGAACCAGAGGTCAGTAACAGTGTCTGGATTAATGAACCAGAGGTCAGTAACAGTGTCTGGGTTAATGAACCAGAGGTCAGTAACAGTGTCTGGGTTAATGAACCAGAGGTCAGTTATAGTGTCTGGGTTAATGAACCAGAGGTCAGATATAGTGTCTGGGTTAATGAACCGGAGGTCAGTTACAGTGTCTGGGTTAATGAACCAGATGTCAGATATAGTGTCTGGGTTAATGAACCAGAGGTCAGTAACAGTGTCTGGATTAATGAACCAGAGGTCAGTAACAGTGTCTGGGTTAATGAACCAGAGGTCAGTAACAGTGTCTGGGTTAATGAACCAGAGGTCAGTTATAGTGTCTGGGTTAATGAACCAGAGGTCAGATATAGTGTCTGGGTTAATGAACCGGAGGTCAGTTACAGTGTCTGGGTTAATGAACCAGATGTCAGATATAGTGTCTGGGTTAATGAACCAGAGGTCAGTAACAGTGTCTGGATTAATGAACCAGAGGTCAGTAACAGTGTCTGGGTTAATGAACCAGAGGTCAGTAACAGTGTCTGGGTTAATGAACCAGAGGTCAGTTATAGTGTCTGGGTTAATGAACCAGAGGTCAGATATAGTGTCTGGGTTAATGAACCGGAGGTCAGTTACAGTGTCTGGGTTAATGAACCAGATGTCAGATATAGTGTCTGGGTTAATGAACCAGAGGTCAGTAACAGTGTCTGGATTAATGAACCAGAGGTCAGTAACAGTGTCTGGGTTAATGAACCAGAGGTCAGTAACAGTGTCTGGGTTAATGAACCAGAGGTCAGTTATAGTGTCTGGGTTAATGAACCAGAGGTCAGATATAGTGTCTGGGTTAATGAACCGGAGGTCAGTTACAGTGTCTGGGTTAATGAACCAGATGTCAGATATAGTGTCTGGGTTAATGAACCAGAGGTCAGTAACAGTGTCTGGATTAATGAACCAGAGGTCAGTAACAGTGTCTGGGTTAATGAACCAGAGGTCAGTAACAGTGTCTGGGTTAATGAACCAGAGGTCAGTTATAGTGTCTGGGTTAATGAACCAGAGGTCAGATATAGTGTCTGGGTTAATGAACCGGAGGTCAGTTACAGTGTCTGGGTTAATGAACCAGATGTCAGATATAGTGTCTGGGTTAATGAACCAGAGGTCAGTAACAGTGTCTGGGTTAATGAACCAGAGGTCAGTAACAGTGTCTGGGTTAATGAACCAGAGGTCAGTAACAGTGTCTGGGTTAATGAACCAGAGGTCAGTAACAGTGTCTGGGTTAATGAACCAGAGGTCAGTTACAGTGTCTGGGTTAATGAACCAGAGGTCAGTTATAGTGTCTGGGTTAATGAACCAGAGGTCAGTAACAGTGTCTGGGTTAATGAACCAGAGGTCAGTAACAGTGTCTGGGTTAATGAACCAGAGGTCAGTAACAGTGTCTGGGTTAATGAACCAGAGGTCAGTAACAGTGTCTGGGTTAATGAACCAGAGGTCAGTAACAGTGTCTGGGTTAATGAACCAGAGGTCAGTAACAGTGTCTGGGTTAATGAACCAGAGGTCAGTAACAGTGTCTGGGTTAATGAACCAGAGGTCAGTTATAGTGTCTGGGTTAATGAACCAGAGGTCAGATATAGTGTCTGGGTTAATGAACCGGAGGTCAGTTACAGTGTCTGGGTTAATGAACCAGATGTCAGATATAGTGTCTGGGTTAATGAACCAGAGGTCAGTAACAGTGTTTGGATTAATGAACCAGAGGTCAGTAACAGTGTCTGGGTTAATGAACCAGAGGTCAGTAACAGTGTCTGGGTTAATGAACCAGAGGTCAGTTATAGTGTCTGGGTTAATGAACCAGAGGTCAGTTATAGTGTCTGGGTTAATGAATCAGAGGTCAGTAATAGTGTCTGGGTTAATGAACCAGAGGTCAGTAACAGTGTCTGGGTTAATGAACCAGAGGTCAGTTATAGTGTCTGGGTTAATGAACCAGAGGTCAGTTATAGTGTCTGGGTTATTGAGCCAGGGGTCAGTTACAGTGTCTGGTTAAATGAATCAGAGGTCAGATATAGTGTCTGGGTTAATGAACCAGAGGTCAGTAACAGTGTCTGGGTTAATGAACCAGAGGTAAGTTATAGTGTCTGGGTTAATGAACCAGAGGTCAGTTATAGTGTCTGGGTTATTGAGCCAGGGGTCAGTTACAGTGTCTGGTTAAATGAATCAGAGGTCAGATATAGTGTCTGGGTTAATGAACCAGAGGTCAGTAACAGTGTCTGGGTTAATGAACCAGAGGTAAGTTATAGTGTCTGGGTTAATGAACCAGAGGTCAGTTATAGTGTCTGGGTTATTGAGCCAGGGGTCAGTTACAGTGTCTGGTTAAATGAATCAGAGGTCAGATATAGTGTCTGGGTTAATGAACCGGAGGTCAGTTACAGTGTCTGGGTTAATGAACCAGAGGTCAGTTAAAGTGTCTGGGTTAAAGCACCAGAGGTCAGTTACAGTGTCTGGGTTAATGAACCAGAGGTCAGTTACAGTGTCTGGGTTAATGAACCAGAGGTCAGTTGCAGTGTCTGGGTTAATGAACAAGAGGTCAGTTACAGTGTCTGGGTTAATGAAGCAGAGGTCAGTTTCAGTGTCTGGATTAATGAGCCAGAGGTCAGTTACAGTGTCTGGGTTAATGAAGCAGAGGTCAGTTTCAGTGTATGTATTAATTAACCTGAGGTCAGTTACAGTGTCCGTATTCACTAAACAGAGGTAAGTTAACGCGCCTTTTTTTAATTAACTCGAGGTCACTTACAGTGTCTATATATACTTAACAGCGGTCAGTTACAGCGTCTGTATTAAGTCAGCAGGGTAACGGTGGTGTTACGGTGATTGTAGTAATTAGCAGAGGTTAGTAAAAGTATCTGTATTAATCTGACAGTTGCTTACACTTACCTCTCTGGTAAACTGTTTTGATCTTTGGTACTTTAACGATATGCGGAACTGTAATAATAAAAACAGAAAAATAACGAAGATGTATTTATCTGGAAAGTATTCAATAAATAAGTAATTCAATCCTGAAACATATGCAAAACAAATCAATCACTATTTGTTAGATCATCTGACAAATACATCAACACGACTGAAATTACTGTGGCACTCTTGTCATAAATACAGATGACGAAAGTCTTTGAAGATTCTTTGTTTGTACTTTTGATAACGCTAACGAGATGCGAGGATTCAGACAATGTGTAGTAAACCTACTATGGTATACCGTTAACTATGTCGTAATGATAAATGAACCATGGTATACAGTTACTAAAATAACATGCAGTTACCTCCTATATCGCAAACCTACCTTGGTATACCGTTAACTATGTCGTAATGATACACTAACCATGGTATACAATAACTTACCTAACGCACAGTTACCCACTATGTCGTAAAACTACCTTGGTATACCGTTAACTATGTCGTAATTATACACTAACCATGGTATACAATAACTTACCTAACGCACAGTTACCGACTATATCGTAAAACTACCTTGGTATACCGTTAACTATGTCGTAATTATACACTAACCATGGTATACAATAACTTACCTAACGCACAGTTACCACCTATATCGTAAAACTACCTTGATATACCGTAAACTATGTCGTAATTATACACTAACCATGGTATACAATAACTTACCTACCGCACAGTTACCACCTATATCGTAACACTACCTTGATATACCGTTAACTATGTCGTAATTATACACTAACCATGGTATACAATAACTTATCTAACACACAGTTACCGACTATATCGAAACACTACCTTGGTATATCGTTAACTATGTCGTATTTATACACTAACCATGGTGTACAATAACTTACCTAACGCACAGTTACCAACTATGTTTGAACTAAAAAGGAATGGAATATTTCGTGTGAAAGCAATAGCTCAGTGAGTATCGGGGAAATGAGGACTGACACAATCACATCTAACTATTCTGTGTGGCTAAGTACAACCTACATTTGTGTTTCTCTGGTGCAACGTACCTTTTACCTACCTTTGTGGCAATGTAGTGAACCTGTTTTTGTTTTTCTGCGGTACAACCTACCTTTTAGCCATGTGGTGCCGCCTACTTTTGCTGTTTATGTGGTACAAACTTTGTGTAGATAAGGTACAACCTACCTTTGTGTATCTGTGGTACTGTCTTTTTCAACACGACTGTCCGGATCTTTGGAACTGTAACAAAGATATGGAAAGTATTAATTTTGATTTGATGTGCATGATTACGTCGTAACCAAAGGATCTATAACATCTATAAATCTACATAAGACATAGGACGAGATTGTTTTTGGCATCATAAGCATATCAATGTAGGGATGATTTTTAAAGGTGGATCATTCATATTTCAATCAATCAATAAATCAATAAAATTAATAGTTGTCGGTGGATTTTTCAAATAAATTCCAATTAATGCCACGTATATAAAATTTGATTAATACTATGTTACTTGTACTTATTTGAAAAAAGCATTGTTTCATCAAGATATAAACATGTGTAGGTGAGTTTCGTCATTGTGAATATCCGAGTTCCAAACTTGTCTCTTTGCTTACTTAATCACTTACCTTGTTTTATCATTAAATCTGTAAAAGAAATTGAAAAAGCAACATATCACTTGCAGCAGTTTTAATCGCAATGGTAAGTCAGTTTCATATAGATTCACACATGGAAAATATTGGTGCGAGCTTTCTTTGGAAGGTATCATCATAATTATTATTATTTTGCTTATAACACAGCACATCACCCTGTATGATTAGTGAAATGGCTGAATGATGCAACTACTTAGGGTTTTTGCCATTTGAACCTATCCGTAAATAAAAATCAAACAATTCAAAATATGGAGAAGTTATATTCCATCTCAACAATTACAATAAATCAACTTGTTTGATGACTATTTTGTCATTTGAATAGGATCAACTTGTAAAATGAAAAGCCGTATCAACCCATAAGAAAAAACAGTAAGTTTATACGCATTCAGTAGCCATGTTTTGCATCGTTCAAAATACGTTTAAAGACACGCAAAAGTTCAACATCTGTTTAAAGAAAGATGTATACTTACGATGTCTGTCGATGAAAACTGTAACGAAATAGATACTGTTATTCTTTACTAGTAGATTATGCCTTAAAAATCTGGCAAAATACAAACAAAACTCATCACAACTGATACCTTACGTAAAGGTTGTCTTACATTTATCAAATAGCTGCATGTATGCTTCAATAAGTTGTCAACCAGATTGCCGGCTGTAAGGAGATCGTATGTTAAAGAAAGATACATATATTATTCCCTGATTATTCTAAATACATTCTGTAAAACAAGATTGAAGACTTACCTGGGGCTTTAACAGGGATTGCTGAAATAGTAAGCAAGGAAAAATTATTAGTTTCAGTATTAAAATCCGGTACCAGTTGTTTTGTGTGATCCAAAGTCTATTATTTTATAACTACATATTGGAGAACGATTCAAGATAATAAAAGTTCAAACCAGAATCAAAATGAAGAAAACAATTAATAGAATTCGTGCGAGGTTGTTTTTTTGTGAAAATCAACAGATCTACGACATTTTTTATGAATTTTATATTATTTGAATTCTAAAACTTGGGTGAGCTGGAAAAAAATATCCTTTTTTAAACAGTAAAATGAGAAAATAATTAAATTATTTGCATTGCTATCTTGTAATCATAACAAAAAAGTATCTTTATATAGGCTAGCTGCATTTTTAACGCAACAGTATATGCATAAACGTTGAGTGATAGGACGTACTTCCGTTTATCACACAGAATGACCGCCTATCTAAGATTAATGTACGTAGCACCTGCCAACAGCACATTACTGCTGACCTACCATCCATCAAACAGAGCAGGTAGTTAATATAGGTGTATTAACGAGTTCAGATGATTGTTTCTAGGTTACAACTACCGTACTGCACTTCATTTACTGAGATCTATTTATCGTAAAGGACGTCATTTACCTTACATCACTTCATTTACCGAGATCTATTTATCGTAAATGACGTTATCTACCTAACATCACTTCATTTACATAAATCAATTACATGTGTAATTTACCGTAATCACTACATTTACTTACTACACCTAATTTACCTTAACACTCCATTTACTTAAATAATAAATTTACCTTAACACTCCATTTACCTAAATAATAAATTTACCGAAATCACTCCATTTACTTAAAAAATAAATTAACTCTAATCGCTCCATTTACTTAAATTTACTAAAATTACTTAGATTTTCTGTTAAGGACTTCATTTACCGTAAATAAACTGATTAGCCGAAACTCAATTATTATATCACTTAATTAACGGTAAATCACTTTATTTACATAATCATTCATGATTGTGAAAATTACTTCATTTACAGTTTATGACTTGATTTACCTAAATAACTTGTTTTACTATAAATCACTTAATTACAGTAAATCACCTCATTGTTATTTCATTTACTTTCAGCACTTTATTTAATGTTAATTAATAATAACTTTATTTAGCGTTAATCATTCGATTTGAAATAAATACATTATTTACTGTTCTTCATTTCATTTACCACACATTATCAAACTAACCGTAAATGACTTCATTTACAATAAATCACCTCATTCACTATAAATCACTTTTTTTAGAACGCTAATTTCGCGATTACCTTTTTATTTTATTTTCTACGGCAATTTAACTTAAAAAAGGACGAATAGCAGAAACATATATATGGCCTTTGTTTGATATGTCTTGAAAAATAAACCCGATATATTTTAAATTGTGATCGATTCTACTCGAGAATTATTGGGAAAGTATCTCTACTTAACGCCGAGATAGCACAATGTATATTAAGGGCGACTGATAATGATGTACGCGTGCGGTTACAAGGACTGAATAATGACGTCACGTCATCATAGCGTAAAATAAGATGTAAAACACTCGGAACCCGTTCTTGTTCCACTTCGTCATTTTTGCTCTGAGGGTAACAACCGAGGGGTTCAGAAAAAGGCGAACTATAGAGTAATACACCTTAACGAATCTGCTGTATGTTATAGTAAGATTCACTTAGTATGTCATACAGAATATGGCAGGAGAAGGAACGAAAATATCTGTTAGCACGATATTTCAGTTGATCTAGGATGATATCACATCATGTTAATGATTGTCCACAAACAACACAAATATTCAGAACTGATTATGGAAGAATGTACTCACGCATAGGTGCAGGAACTGAAGAAGAAAAATAAATGTAAAAGTAAGTGTAAGGAAAGATTGTGTTTACTCAATACAAATATCACGGAATATCACCAAGTATTTAGCGTTACACAAACGTAATTATTTGAAATAATATATTAATTGAATTTCCATAAGACAGGTAGACTCTTCAGATTTAACAGAAGACCGCATCAAGGCTTCCAATGGTGATCATATACAATACTAGTATAATAAAACGTTGCCCCAATGCTATCACGAAATAAATGGTGGTCAGTTATAAAACAAAACAAAAAAACGAGTCAAAAATGATGGTTAGTTATACTAAAAGACCGCGCCAAAAATGATGGCCTTTTTATACCAAAGTACCACGACAAAACCAATATGGTAAGTTATAAACCAAATAATCGCGTCAAAAACTTATTGTTGAATACGCCTAGGGACGGCGTCAAAAACGATGGTTAATTATACCAAAGAATCGCGTTAATGCTGATGAGCTATTACAAATAAAAACGTCAACTGTACATTATATATAATAAAAGACTATGTCAATAGAGGTATGTTTTTCATAATATACAACTGATAAATTAATCAAGCAAAAGTACAATCTGAAGAATAAAGCGGACAGGGAAAGGGGTTGCTAAGCAAATATGAAAAATAACAATACAATGTGCTTACCTATTTTGAGGAAACGTTTTGGATAGCCAACTGTGAAACGAAAAAATGACATTAATAACAAAAAGAAGTAAAAGGAATATAAAAAGTTGTAATGGAAAATCAGAATAATCAATGCAGAAATCAGAATTTTTTTTAATGATTTCATTTAAAATAGATTTTTCTTAGCGAATGTCGTAATAAAGGGTTTTACTCACAGCCCTCTGAAGAACCTGAAAAAAACAGAAATTGGCTTAATGAAAATACATGCTTTGTTATCACTGTAAGATTTTGTACATGATATGTTGTATATTTATCCAGCCAAGTTTCGTCGACATATTTCATCATAATTGAAGCATATCCAGATTTATTATTATAGGTCCGCACAACATTAGCTACCATGTTTTAATAGTTAGTTTCGTTGTTCCTTGCGTATGGATGCACTTGTAAATATGATAATATCGTCCAATATTGATTCAAGATGTCTGAAAATGTGCATTTTCTTTAAAACGCGAAAATTATTGATAACTTGAAACATTAAAATAATACAGGTATTAATTAATATCCAAGTAGAATAGCAGCACACATACCTGCCGCTAGGGCAATCACTAGTAAAAGCGCTACACCGTTCATGCTGACAGTTCTCCGTCTGGACACACTCAAGGACACTGGGGACAAACTACCCAACACTTTCCTTTTATATAGGTCAGAAGGCCAGGCATTCTTTTAGGTAGAGTTTAATTGTATTTACTTCCACATACAGAGACATTAAGTTGACACATTTGCCTTAACGCCGATGTGTATGTACATGATGGCGCGTCATATGCAAGGTTGCAGGATGGTTATCCCGAGTGTCAGGAAGGTGACAGTTTTAGTACCGATCTGTTTCTCCACGTGTATTGTCCATTAAACAGCGTGGCAACCTCATCTAATACACTATTCACACTGGTTTCCGCTCATTTATTAGCTTGGACGTTTTGTCACTTTTCACTAGAAATCGTAAAATAATAGAATCTTCAATGCTTTCAAAACGTTTGGTATTAATAAATCAAATTAGGCTTACTGGATCACATGTTAAATGAAAAGACACCTGCTGCATAAGAAGCATTCTCGTTTTCTTTTATTTAAATATCTATGATTCATGTTTGTTAATATTGGAGTTTATCTTCGGATAAACAATTTAGTCATTATATTGACATGCATTCACGATCTGTTAAAGCATGATATGATCTTGCAATAATTCATTATTTGAAAAGAATCACACCCTTTCCAGAAGTCCTAACAGTAATATTAAATGCGTAAGGTGAGAGACATATTAAAGACCACTGCTGCTAGAAAATCCAATCTGATGAAAAATGCAGTGTTGACGGCATACCAGGGCTCGTCATCGCATTGTCACAGACAAAGGAAGGCGTCTATAAGGCCCTTTTTTGGGCCCTGGTTCGGATTTTCACCTCCTTTGTTCAAAGATGTCCTATTGTATGACATGCGGAAAAACTAAGGTAAAACCTTGACCGAAAGTGGGTTTCTGGGGGTACCAAAAGGCGTATGGAAAATCACAAATATAGTTTGCTGTTTTCAAAATGACCTTAAAAACCAAAATAATACCATTTCCGTTTAATACCATTTCCGTTTTTGAAAACATGTATAAATTAGACGAGCAAATGTAACGGAATGAAAAATGACAGAAATGTAATCGTCACTTAAAGATTGTTTATATAAAACGCAGGATTACGTCAGGGGGGGTCTTTTCGGTCATTTTCAATTGAATAGTAATTTGTTTTCTCAATAATTTCCTTTCTAATAAATATTTTGACTTGAAATTTACAACTTCACTCATTTAAGTAGACTTACATAAATTACATATTGACTACATACTTTCCTTTTGTTTTATACTGAGTTATGGCTTCTGGACACATCTCAAATATCTCTCAATTTTAAGTGAATTAAAAGATGCATGACACCCTTTATATGATATAAGTATAACATATCAATTGTTAGTATTGTATTTTATATATATCATATAATATTTGCTCAACACCTGTGGCTGAGTGCCAGGTCCTGGTTTGGTTTTTTTACCTATCAAAGTAAACTTACAAATCAACAATGGCATTTGCCACCACAACTACTGTAAAATGATTGATTTAATATATGAAGTTTGATTTGCTGGTAATTTTAAGTCTCCTAGCCTCAAGGAAAGTATCTGCTTTAATCCTTTGTTTTATACAAACAATCTTTAAGGGACGATTGCATTTCTGTCATTTTTCACTCCGTTACATAATTATGCTCGTCTAATTTATACAGGTATTATTTTGGTTTTTAAGGTCATTTTGAAAACAGCAAACTATATTTGTGATTTACCATACCCCTTTTGGTACCCCCAGAAACCCACTTTCGGTCAAAGTTTTACCTTAGTTTTTCCGCATGTCATACAATATGACATCTTTGAACAACAAAAAATAAGGAGGTGAAAATCCGAATATACCGGGACCCAAAAAAGGGCCTTATAGACACCCTTCCTTTGTCTGCATGTATCAAAAACATATTTTTCGCCAACAACGTCAACAATTTCACATGTGAATAAATCGTTGACCCGATTTCCTGCTCGATATCATTTCTCTTTAAGATGCATATATACAAATATTTTAGCTTCACTTCCCATCGTCCTTTACGCTAGAGGTTCGTCATAGAAGTGTCGTTGCTAAACACAGGCAATACGCTAGCCAGGGTAAAAGGATCAGATCAAGCATAAGTGGTTATCCTGAATGGGTACTCCAGAGGGTAATCGAACAATGTAAATGTAAGGAAAATAACAAGAAAATATCAATCAAGAGGAATAAGAAAGGTCAATTGGTAATCCCTTATAAAAACAGAGTTTCCAGCTTTAACGTAAGCATTGCATACCAATAGTTCTAAAACATCCAAATACCATCTAAAAATAAAACACACAACGAAAACGTCGCGGAATAAAAAATAGGAAGGGAGAGTTGCGACAGTTCGAATGCAAGAGCCGATATGAATACGGTTTGGAAACAGTCCCAGATAAATTAAATAGGAATTAAAACCCCACACCACACAATAATTTCATGTCACTCTAATAAAATACTAGCCGCTTCCTACTTAGCTCATTCGGTAGAGAGTAAGACTAGTAAACCTGAGGTCCCGGGTTCGACTCCTGGCGGATGCATTTAAAAAGTAATGACCTGTTATATTCATATAATTAACTACGATGTATCCGTTCAACTGTCAGATAAAAGAGGCAATCCATGAGACCGATATACCCTCGCATTTTTATGACAGTGTATTAAATAAAGCGAGGCCGAATCGGCTTATCGATTAACCTGTCATCTCGTACTAATTCAACAAGATAGGCGGATTCCGTTTATGTTTGTCAATGGACATTTTATGTTTTTAAATCAACACTTTATGCATATTCATGAGGTCGACGTCACACAGATGATGGTTCGGGTGAACAGCTCAAAATTCACCGGTTGGTTATCAGTACGGTACGTGGATGTAGGTATTTTACCGGCGATGTAAATCACGGGTTGATAAATGGGAAATTCGTACCAAGAAACAGCCCCTCACCACTCCATAAAATTGTCATGATTCTTTTCTAACTGTTATATAAATGTTCAAGAAAATATGGTGGGTATGCATTTACATGATAACACCAAAATCTGTAACCTTGAATTGGTCACGAAATAACCGAACCAAGTGTGTCGAACAGGGACAAGAGTATGGTTACCTTCTCAAAAATGAAGCAACCAGAATACTCCTATTTCCTAGAGAATTACTTGGCAAACAAAACAGGTTGTCGTATTTATGGCTACATCTACGATATGTAATGTCCTACAGCAAACAAAAAACGAATGCACCACTGTAACAAGTTTCATTTCCCGTGATCGCGCATTAGGAGAGAGTGTAGAAACCCAAATTGTTTAGTATATACACGGATGATTGTCCGCATTAACCAAACATTTACAACGTAAGTATATCACCAAAGACTTTCTCGTTATCGAGGATCAGAGACCAGTTACTCACGTTGTATCAAAATATCAATCCTTAAGTACAATATAAGGCCGGTAATCAAAAATACAATAAGTCCTCTTGCTGAAAAGGTTTTCGAACTTAAGCTATCTGGTTTGCTGAAACTACCTCACCCATAAGTATGAACCCGGTCCACAGTACCGAAACAGTATCCTTATCGGACTTGTACTTTTTCTTGTCTCTTTTGAATACTATTTCGCCATGACTCTGTAAAAATATAACCTGCATCACCTCTGAACAAAAAACAACAACAACGATACATAACAAAATAACTAAACATGTCGGCTTTGAAAGCGGGTTATTAAAGACAATTGACAATCAAGGGTGTTGTACGAGAGTTAGTAAGGATCATTGACAATGAACATGTCCATAGATAGCTACTCGTAACAAGATATTCGTTCTATAAATAAAATGCCGAAAATTCGTTATTAAAAAGAGTTTGTGAAAATACCCATACTAGATGTAATATGTGAAATATCGAAACAGAAACAATATAGACTGTGATTGGTTCTATAATCTATAATTTTTAATGTTTAAAAAGGTTCGCACTCGTAATTTGTTCCATACGTATATAAAAAGCTGACAAGGTTGTGATTGGATAAATATCCTGTGGTTTAACAGTAAGGAAGGTTGTGGTTGGTTATATATCTGATAAAACAAAATAGTAAAGGAGCAGTAATTGGTTCAAAATGAAAGTCAAAAATTCGTTTGAATTCCTTAATTGGTGTGCTTGAAAGTACCTGATGTGTAATATTTAGAAATATGTTCATAGTTAGATGTAGTACATGTAAAGATGTCCAATACAGGGTTCTAGTAACTCAATCTGGCGGTCAAACAGCTCATGTACGTCGATCTATATGATAACTCTGGACAACCAATAAAATATCAGGAGGCGAGATGTTTATTGTAAGACTCTGACAGATCGGGCTATATATGTCCTCAGTGGCGAGAATACACAGCTGATCATCTAAGACGCACGGTCCGTTCAGAGAGTGACACTAGTTTATAAGAGTTCTTATATTTACTAGTTTATTTTTGTTTTACCAATGAAAAGTAATAGAATCTTAAGGTATAGCAAAATAATTCAAATATTGTATGTGTACTCTTTCTCCGATTCGTACACAAGACACCATACCAACCCACCCCAAAAAAACCCAAAGAAGATAAGAAAAGAAAAAATAATTATAAAATAAGTAAATAAATGAAAATAGATATCTGGTATATCGTCAAAAACGACCCGATCTCAACTCAAACATTCCTACAAAATATGTATTACGTACGTAGCGGTGGTAATAACGACCTTCAAGCATCACTGTCCACCTAACCTCTAGTACACAGAGGCCATAACGATCTTCCTACGTACATATCATCGGGAACTTCGTGTTTTCCTTCCTACAAACCCCCACCCAGTCCAGAAAAACTACAACCTGATGTCCAGAACTAACATCACTCATCATTCCCACAAAAGTGAAAAACGATCGTCATCCATTCATTCCTACGAAACTTCTTGTGCCTCGAGTCTACAACGGCCTTCATTCTTTCCTCCTTCAAACTTTTGAATAGCTCTATATTATAACTATCTATTAAAACAAGCCAAATGTATGTTCTTTA